GATATGGAGTCGATTTCTTGGTGTTATTTGAATATTTCGAGTTTGTCCAAACTATCATCAAAATATCAACTTTTCATGAATCGAGAGTACTGATGTACTTGATTTCAATTAAGGCTATGTTTTGGACCATATTTAGCACAATTTATTTTTTTATCTTGAAAACAGATAGAGATAGGTATAGGACATTATTAACAAAAAAGTATAAAAATACCAGAGCGATTTTTTCTGGAAGATTGGGAATCAACATTTCTTGCAACTACTTTTTGTAATTGCGGTAATTCATTTCGCTATAACAGTTGCCCGATTTTGTGTTAGATTTAAATCATAGATATGAATTCACAAATCCATTTTCTCCTCCTGCATTCACAATTATAAGTATCTCCCCTTTTGAAATTGGTGCAAGCAACCCTTCATTCAAATATGTTTTGTGTTGGATATAAATTATTGTTCGACCTTCTTCACGTTATTTCTTCATATCTCAGAGAAAATTTCATCGAAACTGTTGAATCGCCGACTTTTCCATGAGTAATTTTCAATTTTTTCTTTCAATTTCCTCCATCTGAATTCTATTACTTCCATCACTGTTCTCAGAGATTTATAAGAACCCTTGTAAACATTTTAGTCAACGAATTTTTTATGTATACGACGTGAGGTGGGAATTTTTTTCTCAGTAATGTAATTATTGATTATATGTTGACGAAGGCCTGAAATTATCAAAATCTGATTTTGATGCTTTTCTGTCTTTTTTATTAGGCATTAAAAAAAGAGGATGACTCACCATTTTCAATTGTTTTCATTTCACGAGCTATTCTTTTAATGCTACCCAAACTTACACCCGCCGCTTTTGCACAACGCTCTTGAACTTTTTCAGGTTCATGCTTATGCCATTATTAGCTTCTCATTGCATGAAAAAAAAATACATTAGCAATCACTTCAATTTGATTCGAATGCCCATTTTCTTAGAGCACAGACTTTTGTCGCGTACCTACTATACTTCACCGAAGTAGACACTATACAAGATTGTCGTTAACACTCAGCTCCGATCATCTTTAAAGGTTTTCTACCACGCACATCTCAGGGGAGGTCCTAAGCCGAGACTTTGAAGTCGCTTCCTAGATTTGGTTTGTTTAATGTGAGCCATGAATTAACGAAATATGTTTAATAAGTACACAGAAAAACCGAAACTAATTACGATTTCTGGCGGCTCAGCATTTTGTATATCTGGTGACATCAAGCCAGGTTTCACTGAATCGCTTCTTTGAGGATGTTTTTTCAAGCATCAAATTTACTGAGAACTTTTCTTTCACCAATATCTTCAAATTACGTGCCGATTCGATTTTATAGATCAAAAAAAATAAAAATGAGCCTGTTGCCATTCATTGAAAAACGATCGATTATTTTTCAGCTATCACCAAAGCCGCACTCACCAGTGAAATCAACACAATAGAGTTCAACACTTATGAGACCAGCTCCGATCCTAGATGTTATGGAGATATAAAAATCACTGATGTAGCCTTCCATTTGAAGGAAAAAGTGACCGTTCTACCTCATCACGCAGACTCTAAGGAATATTTTGTAGCGGTGGCAGCTTCTGGGAAGAAAATTATTTGTAGTGAAATATCAGAAGCGAAAGACCATGTCATTCCTATTAGAAAATGTTTCGAATTTGATAATCTTCTTGCCGATTTTGAAATATCTATCAGCGTCTATTCAATGACCATTAGGAATAAGGTACATATAATACAGGTGAGTATATTTTCATGGTGAAAATAGTTTCGAAAATGATATGATTTTCACGGGACATTTTAATTAATAAAATTTGAATCTCAAGCGGGGTCAATAAAACCCAAGTCTTCAAACTTACTAAAAGGTTTTACAAAGACCGCGACAAGTGTTTTGCTTTACACTAACTTCCTGATCCTATGATCCAACCAGATTGATTATATCTGAAAAGACCGGATATGAACATTTATTCATTATGAAACATTCAATCGGTTTAGTGATATGATACATACCAGACCCTAATGATAATTTTCGTAAATAAAATCGACATATTGTTCAAATATTGAAACTCTCTGCAATACCATTGAAAACTCAACAGTATTTGATAACTCAATAATTTTGTATATAATTTGTAGTAACAATGGTATCCATTGATTACGAATTCAAGGCAAGGACCTTTGATTTTCATTAATTCGACCAAAATAAAACTATGTTCAAAATTTTTTGGGAATTTGTAATCTTTGCGAATTTTTTGAAAAAATATATTACTATGTGAGGATATGATCTTTATAACAGTATGGAATTACGAAGCCTAGCTATTCAATTACCTATTGAGACACTAACCAAATGAGTTTAAAATGTCATATATATTGTAATCACTTCATGTTCCACAAGTTAAAATTGAGTAGCTACCACTCTGTCTGAATTTTAAAATTCATTAATTTATCTACGAACCGTCTTTGCGCTGACAAAGTTTATACTTTGATCGGGGTACAAAACGCTATAGCCAAAAAACGCTTCAAAACCTGTAAAAAATAGTATTTGCTGGAGTAAGTAATCAATAACCTACACCTTATATACGTGTAGGTAATACTTTTCTCTTGCCAAGCATAATATCAAACGGACCAAAATAAGAAAGCCCAGTTTGTGTAAAAACCAACCTTAGCTTGCTCTACCCGGAGACCCGGTAATCCGACATCAATTGATTCACTGTTCTAGGTTTTAGCATGAAATACCAGTTGCAAGAACGAATTCTTTGTTTAATGATATTTCGCCAACCGACAGGCCCGCCCAAACCAATTCCAAGCCCCTAGGCAAATACAATCTTGTGTGGGCCCCTTTCAGTATCACAATATCCCCCTCCCCCCACGTCAATCCCAAATATGAGTGTTTGTCTTAACCATATCACCTTCTTTTGAGTGTTTCTTCTTTACTTTATGATAGTATTCTATCAGTTTCACTGTGAGTAGATCCTTACTCAGTATTCTGATAGGATGTTGACTCTTGAATTGAAGATGATGTGAATGAAGAGATGATGTGAAGTGGACGTATTTTTAAAAACCGAAGTATTCAAGTTCCCTCGATCCAAGATAGTTGGTATCGTCCCAAATTCAACCATTTTGTTTGTTACGTACCCATTCATCCAGAAATGAGCCTCATCACTGAAGATTATTTTTCGATAAAAATTTAGGTCAGTTGCCAACTGCTCCAGAGACCATTCAGCGAACATACGTCGTTGTCTATGGTCGTTTACCATCAGTTCCTGGGCCAAATGATTTTTGTACGGGTGCGGGACCAAGTCATGACGCAAAATTCGCCAAGTTGTAGTCTGCGAAAGACCGAGTTCTTGTGAGCTACGCGAAATCGACTGCCTCTAATTCTGCTGTACACTCTCACAGACATCAGCGGCGATGCTTTCGGCAGATCATGAGTTCCGTCGACGTACGGGTGTTGGGTGGACTCAAATTTATCCACCTTATTACGAATACTTCTCAGTAGGACTATTATGGCTACCGTGAAATGGGCGAAGCGCGCGGTACGTTGCCCAAACAGAACACCCATTTTGATAAAACAATTTTATTATTTGCACATGTCTTTCGTGATTCGGTAAAACAGACTGAATAAGTAACAACTAGGTAATTTGACAGATGTAGCTCTAATAAGATGGCCGTTATCAATTATCAAAGTTCGGAAGTCCCGTTGAAAGACCCCCATGTAACAATCTTTTTTTCAAGAACTTTCCTTGCATATTTAACTAAGCGAGTTAACAGGCTAGGAACCAACAATTCCAACCTTCGAATCGTTACCAACTTGAAGGGGGTTACCTTTGATTTAGCACTCATTCGAACATACAACACAGCCCCATATCTCTCTCAGCTGACATCCGTAAAAGCGACTAACATTACCGGAGACGTCCTCATTGAACCGGAAAAATGAGGAAACTGGATCTCTTCCAACCTCTCCAATGTTACGAAACGATTATTTTCGTTCAATTCCTTTTTGAACCTCGGTATCGCCTTCCAGCTTGAACCACCACAGCTTTCTATCGAAAATTTTGAATACATTATGAATGGAGCTACCAAACCAATAGGATTGTAATATCGAGGAACCGTAGAGAAAATCAATATTTTTGTACATATTTCATCGGATATTTCAAAGTGAAATTACAAACCATTATCAGGATCCCAATATATTTCCAAAATTTTTATCTGTCAAGAAAAAAATGGATGTAAAGATAATAATATGCTTAAATTAAAATTGAACTAAGGATGAACTAACACTAACCCAGGGGTTCTCAAACCATAAAAAAACAGATGTAACAGTTCAAATAAACATTAATTTTTGTCACTTGAATTTCTTTATAATAAGAGACAGTAGGAAACCTAACTGATTTTAAGCACTTGCAGTAGTTTTATGACAGTCGATCTCGCGTCATTTCAAGCACAAGCTCTAACTTTTAATGCTTGTATCGACACATTTTGGATAGGTATTTGAAAGGAATGCCTAGAACTGTCCACAACAGCAATTTGTGCCATTTGCCATTTTCTGTAGAAGATTCCCACTTTTTTTTATAAAGATGAAGAAGTAGAAACCCAAAATCTTTACCAAAAAAAAAACATGTATGTGCAATAAATGCTTACATATGTTTTATTCAAAAAAAAACTACAGCAATAACTAATTTTTTTACTTTTCCTTCCTAGACACATCCCGCGACTCCCCTGAAGGTCGCGATCCACCGTTTGAGAACCCCTGCACTACTTGATACCGTATTATTTCTTGAATTCCCAACATTTACACATAAGTAATTTCAGATTGGTAATTTTACCACTTAACAAATTCGAAAAAGGGAATGATGATATCCTGTAATGCACACTACATTTCCCAATTTCACTACTTATCGAATCAAATAAACCGGATAATTTGTAGTGTTGCCAAACTTCTTGAGCTGATTTCTTGTCAATGAATTGAATAACATAAAAATTGAAACATGCGTAAGGGATGAAATGCATTTTTCTCTATCTTTTTGCTATTGAAATTATATAATTTTTAACTTATATATTTTTCAGGAAAACATGAAATGTCCTTCTCCGAAAAGCATTTTGAGATGTACCAAAGAACCTAGAAGGCACAAAAGTATCAATAAAACCTTATACATAGAACCTTTGGCATTCACACTCGTGGGAAAATGTTTTATAAGGAATAAGGAGCTATCAAAGCCATCAAGCACTATTGATTCAAGTCTCAAACTGCATACTGTACCTCCTCATTCATCAATTGCTGAAAAGATTGATTTCAAAATAGACCACGCGTACCACCTAACTAACAAAACTTCAGGATTCTTAACTATAGGAATTGAAAATGAACAATTGTTCACAACGTGGAATCGACGTTGGTGTCTACTAGAAGGGTCAGATTTCAAATACTGGAACTATCCTTCCGAAGAAATAGCAGCCCCTCTCGGAAATATAAATCTCTGTTTCAGCAAAGCTCAAAAGGTTATACCAGCTGACAGGACAATTTGTGCTAGACCAAGAACTCTCATGATTCCAATTCAGAACGACACAAGTGAAAAAAGGTATTTGCTGTCTGCTGATACTATAGAAGGCCTGAAAATGTGGGAAAATGAGCTCAACTTCGTTATAAAGTCCCTAATGATTTGGAACGGGATGGAATGTCTTCCAGTTGAATGAGACTGGGATGGAATGAAAATTGTTAATTCGATATGTGCATGAGTGTAATATGTGTGCGTCCGTTTATTTTCTAAGTTCAAAAAGCGTTTCAAAAACGCAGCTTTTCATTTTATTTATTTTTAATATGCCAAAATAACTAGGTATACATTGTTTCATGTTACATTTGGCATATCAAACTTATTTATAATCAAAATACGACGATCCTTATGTATTAAAATTGCTAAAAAGAGAGATTACGATTTTGTAAACGATAAGATGATATGATTTTCAGTGACTGATTTCAAATGATCTATATTGTAATATATTTGATAAATAAATGATTCCTATCTGAATATCGTTTCATGTAAGATAATTTTCTACTTTGAAAAGGACACAAGTACGAAATCGACATCGATCATGTTTACTTCAGCAGAAAATGTGTCAAATTTAATGAATATCACCAGACATTAATTAAAATATATTGAACATCATTAACAATAACAGTAACTTTCGAACTGCTTTTACGTTTTATTTAGAATGCAACATCAAAGTAAATTTTTGTTGTTGTATTCTTAATATTGAGAAATTTTTGTAACAAAAAGTTGAGTTCTGGTATGATACTTGTTTTGATTTTTGTGCATTTGAAACCCAAATTATGACCAAATCGTAGAAGACTATTGCTTTGAAAAATAAATGAATGGGTACAATATTCCACTCCGCTTTTACAGAATGACAGAAATATCAGTGTCAAAATTTAGCGCGACTCTTGAAAATAAGTTAATTTTTTAATGGCGTTTTTGTTCCGATATAAACAATTCCCTTAAAAGGCTTCTAAATTTCTTGTCGATATTTTTCCTCAATCTTCAGTTGTGGTAGGATTTTATATATCGAATTCACGGCCACTAGATGAAAACGCTGAAAAATGGCTGCTGACTTTACACCTTTGGTTTTTATTAGTTTATATATGTTTGGAAAAATAAAAATCACACGTACGAGAGTAACAGTTACTGAAAAAATTTATTTAATTCCATCTCTGTTAATTATTCGGATACAACACTCGCGAATAAAAAAAATTGTTGGTGTCCTCTGGTCACCAACAAACTAGATCATTCATCACGAAAAAAATTAATCTTTCACAAGAGACTTTTTCATTGATTCTGTTGACGGTATTACAAAAATTATTCAAGGAAATTATTGTACTCAAATCAAATTTATATAGGTTTCGAAGAGATAAGAATTGTCATCTTTTTCGTTATTCAAACTATATCATCGATTATTTAAAAGAAGGCTGAATTGACAGGTTAAATTTAAGATTCAAGCTTTATAATTCCATTTCAGAATCTATGCTCAATGAATGTATTTCCATCCATACTTATGATCACTTTAAAGATCTCAAACTAGCCGATCCAAAATTTAATATTCGGTCAGAAATAGACGTGCTGGTTGGAGCTGCAGTTGTTGAAATACCACCATTAGCGAATTGCAAATTTGATGCAATGCTCCGCAATATTTTTCTGAATCTCGCAATATGGCCTTCCGTCGTGTCATATCCCTATAGAATGACGTTTATTAATAAGTAATCCTTTATAAAAAATTTTCTTATTTTATGTTTACCTATATAAATGCACTTATGAAATTAGTAGTCAATAATTCAGACACTAATGATGACACATATTATATCCATTATCATAGTGTATTTAAAAATGGCGGCTCACAATTAAAAGTGGTATTTGATTTGATGGTAGGTATTTTTGAAACTTCTCAGTCATTTGTTAAATGACATGCCTTTCAACTGCTCAAAAACTGCATTATGATTTAGCTTCTTTTTATTAAAATTCAGTGTTTTCACGTATGCTTTCACAACTGAAATAAAATCCATGTTTTTGCAAATATCAGTTAATCTCGCACATTAAAAATTCCAAATAATTATTTAGAGATGTTCACCCAATGATTTACCTCAGAAATATGAGTTGACCAGTCATTTTTGGATCAAGATCGATCCCATTTTGGCATATAGCTATTTTGCAGCTTTGTGAGAATGAAATTGAGAATTTTCCTTCTAACAAGTGAAATGTTACCTATGTGCATATATGAAGATGTCGTCACCACAGGTTCTGATGATTTGAAAGGGGCTCTTGAATTAATAAATCAGCTTATTGAATAACTCAAAAAGGTGGGATTCAAATGACGTAAAATTGGCATAAGCTTCTAAAGAATATTCCAAAATCCCTCATCAATTGACTATGAAAATGACTTATTAAGATTTTGGGACTTCGGTGACTGAAATCATCAGATTCCTTTTCATGAATATTAAAAATACCGTTTGTACAAAGCGCGCAGTTTTATCGGATTAATCAATTTGTTACCCATTGGGTTTCTCGCTTCCCTTTTTTTGCCAAGTATCTAATCCAATACCTGTTGATTCTGAGTCTTATCGGGATGAATCTACACCTCCTGAAATTCAATCTCAATTGTCAGATATCAAAATCTTACTTATTCCGCTCTTTGCCTAAATTTTTTTATTTAATGCTAATGCTAATTTATTCATATGTGTTTGTATAAATATATAATGCAAAACTGAAAAATAAACAAAAACCATACTATCTACATAAAAAAAATACATGAGATCAATAACTATTTCATTGAAAATTTATTATGATTATAAAAAAAATTAGTTTGGTTCTTTTAGTAACTTTGCTTTGTCTTCTATTCGTTTTTGATATGTTATAAAAGAAAGAAAGTACCATTCATCAGTCATTATTTGTTTTCCATTACATTTGCCAAAGTCTCCGCTACGTCGCCACGAGATTGAAATTTCGATATGGTTGGCAATATCGTCGTGGGCATTTGTCTCACCACAATGATCTAAATAATTTATTATTTTATTATATCACTTTTGGCCAAGTTAGGTTGGGTTAATTTTTTATTGGAAAATTTTTAAAAATTGACATTCCGAAATCTGTAGAAAATGGTTTAAGACAAAATGTATATCAAATCAATATCAATATATTGGGAGGGATGACTTAATAGTTTGATAGGAACAGTCCGATGGGAAGGCATTAGATAGGGAAATATGAAAAATCACAAAAGTAAACTAACCCGAAAAGTTAGATTAAACTTTTCTCAGTAGTGGCAACATTAGCATATCAAGGTGAAACATTTAAAATGGAAATTATTTATAAAGTTAGTGGGTACATTTACTCCTATAGAGACAATAAATCGACATTTTTTAAGCAAATATATTGTCAAAAACAATAAAATATTAATATGAAGATATAATATGAAAAAGTAAACGAACAAAGTGTTTCTCTGTAAAATACTTAAAAAATCATTTTCAGTACATTAAAACTCCAATTATTATCCAAATCAATCAGGATCAACAATTGTTCAGATAATCAAATATAAGCTCATCTTACAGGAAAAAACTCCGAAAATGATTAAAGTAACTGACTAATGCTCCTTTCTGGTATTATAATTACGTTCAGGGACATTTTTCTATTGAAAGATTTAAATTGCCTGGCAAATGTGGTACATTTCAAAATCAAAATTAGAAGGCACTATGAAGATAGATCTGTATCTGTGCCTGATTCGTGATAAATTGTTTGCAATGTAATTTTGTCTGAAAAAATTTAAAAAATTTTCTTCCCAAAGTGAACAATATAGTTGTAGTTTGCATAACAGGAGTTCTACTGTAACTGAAAAAGTTAACACGTTATACATACAAATACATTCATTTGATCACTTTGACAAATATTTATAAGATGTTTTCAAGAACCAACAATAAATGATAACATGATATGGCATAATTAAAATTCATTAAAAATTTGTAAATGTCACAAAATACTTTCCAACAAGAAAATGTTCAGTATATATCCACTATCAGACATTAAATATAATTATAATTTTATGATAAGGACCCAAAAAGAGGAGTAGCTGAAGAATCAACAAAAATAATTGAAATGATTTTGATAATTTTATTAGCCATCAAAATTCTTCACCTATAAATTTTTTTCACTATGAAAAAGCTATCACGACATATTTTTGAAATAAAGTTTGTGAAGATCAAATTGTAAGGTGTAGTTTATGAAATTCACCTATAAAGACAAGAAACTAGATCTACTAGACTATATAAATCTTCAACTACTTTAGAAAAAAAATTTCAACTATTAAATTCGGCACAGAACTGAAAGTAATTTGCAAATATGTTATTGAATTCATTTATGAACTAAAATACTAAACTCATGATTACATACTTATTTAAAATCCTGATAAAAAATGTATTCAACTTCAATTATCGTTTACCCATTTCAATTATTTAAAGTAACTCTCAGAACACACCTTATTAAAATATTTATCCTCAAAAAAAGTTGCCAAAAAAATGTATCTTTGAAAGTTATTAGAAATTTAGCACCCGGTTTTTATATGCAAGACCCACACCATGGGAAAATATGTTCGCTTTGTTCTACCACCTCTTATAAAAAAAAAATATAAACTGCACTTATTGCTCGATAAGTGAGGATTGGATGAACTTTACAATGTAAAAAAATGCAACGCCAAGACCAAAACACATTAAATGAGTCAGATATTTTTTTGGCAAAGATAACCCAGGAGCCAATAATATTCTCAAATAAGTCAAATTTGCTTGAGTGTAAGGAGGATACCTGGGACAAGATAGAGTCTCTCCAATTAAGCCCAAATTTTTATGCAGAACACCCTTTTTATGAGTGAATGTATCATAACTGTACTTCCCATGATAGTGCCCCATGCCGCTATTGCCAACACCACCAAAAGGAAGGGAGTGTACAGTTAAATGCATAATAGTATCATTCACGGTAACTCCACCAGCAGGTGTATTCAACAAAATTTGCTCGATATCTCGTTTTCTGTTGGAAAAAATGTATAAAGCCAGTGGCTTCTCTCGACTATTTATAAATTTTATAGCATCATATGCATCTTCAATTGAGATTATTGGCAATATGGGACCAAAAATTTCCTCTTGCATGATTGGAGATGATGGATCAACATTTATCAGTATTGTTGGGGCAATGTATTTGTCAGCGAAATCAACTTCGCCTCCATGGGCCACCACATTCCCTTCTATCAAAGTGGAGAGTCTTTGAACATGTCTCTCATTCAATATCCGACCATAGTCTGGGCTGGATTTGGGATCCTCTCCAAAAAGTTCTTTCAAGGCTTTCTTACATGCGGTCACAAATTTGTCTTGGAGGCTTTTAGGACAAAGAAGATAATCTGGAGCTATACATGTCTGCCCAGCATTAACACATTTTCCCCAAATTATTCTTTTAGCAGAAATTTCTATATCTGCTGTTGAATCTAGGTAAACAGGACTTTTACCTCCCAATTCCAAAGTTGTTGGTGTTAAATGTTTAGCAGCAGCAGCTTGAATTATTTTCCCCACTGTTGTGGATCCAGTGTAGAAGATATAATCAAATTTCTCTTTCAACAATTCAGTTGTTTCAGGAATTCCTCCCTCATAGACTTGAAAAGAATCAGCATCTAGATATTTTGGAATAGACTTCTCTATGAATTTTGATGTAGCAGGTGACAATTCTGATGGTTTAATAACTACACAGTTTCCAGCTGCGATAGCACCAATAACAGGAGATAAGGTGAGGAGAAGTGGGTAATTCCAAGCCCCCATAACAAGTACAACCCCAAAAGGTTCATGTAAGATATAAACTGAATCTAGAATATTAGCAATTGTTGTAGGTGGTTTCTCTGGTTTTGACCACTCACGAATATGCATAAGTACATACTCTATTTCACAAATGAGAAAGTTAACTTCCATCAACAATGATTCTATTTTGCACTTATGCAGGTCATCAGCAAGGGCTTGGGTAATTTCATCTTTATTTTCTTCCAATAAGCGTTTCAGAGCATTCAGCTGTTTGATTCTGTATCCAATTGGTTTAGTCTTTCCGCTATTGAATGCGTTCCTGAGCTCACTAACTAGTTCTGTAGGATTTTTATTTTTCGACATCTTTTACAGAATCCTTTTTTGGAAACAGTTCAACAGAACATATAAACAATAATCACAGATTACAACAACTAATGTTCAAGATTCACTTATTCGTTTCTCTTTCAAAAATGAAAGAACCTTGGCCAAGGCCAAAGTTAATGACCAGCTGAAACCGGTTAAAAAACTGGTCGAAAATTGGATAATTTCCACTCCAACTAGTCAAAGGTTGCGATAGCATCCAATAATCTAATGTTCACAGTCCAATATGTCACAGAATAGTAAACAATTGTTTATTCTGTGTTATGTTGTTGTTATACAGTGAACTGTATACCATCTATACATACTACCATAGTATACATTTCACTGTTAGTTGTCAGTTGTCATATTGTTGTCAGTTCACAAATCACTATCTTCTTCTTCAGTAGAAAGCTAAAGGCGCGACTTTTTGAAAAAAGTACTAGAGGGCGAACAAAAAAGTACTAGATGATACAAAAGAAAGATGAATCCATCAATAATAATTAACACACACATATATAATTGGGAAAGAAATTTTTGACTTTCTACTCTTTCAGTTTTATACTAGAAAATGTGGGAATCTTCCTAAGGAAGAAATAGCCACTAATTCCAAAATAAAATATTTTTCCGCTTACCTCTGTCCAAAGTATACATTTCCTGGCCTCATTGTAGGGAGCGAAGTCGTACTTTTCCTCACTAGGGAGGAAAAGTAAAAGTGACGTCATGGTACATAATCAATGAAATAATTTATACGGCATTGACAACCTAAACTATATTCTATTATATAAATATAAAGTTTACCGTTTATTTATAGAACAACCTGTATTTTGCAATATGGTATAAATTAGTAGGTATTTTAATTTAACGATTTTTTCATTGATAATTTGTTAGATTCATAGATCCATCCGGTTTTTGGATTTATGACAAATTTTATAGCATGCTATGTNTGTACCTACTTCTCAGTTTTAGTTCTTTAATAAATTTTGTTTGTAAGTTTCATAAATAAATTATTTTTGGTAGTTTCATAAATAAATTATTTAAAATTTTGAGGGAGGCGGAAAAATCATATGTATAACATGGGGGTAAAGTGAATTTTCCTCCCTTGAATGATTACTGCCCTCCGCTACGCGTCGGGCAGTAAACTTCATTCTCGGCAGGTAAAGTAACACTTTCCTCCCTTTTTATACAAATAGCTATACAAAGAAGTATAAATAATACAAAAAAGGGATTTTTAGACCCAATGTGGAAGAGAAAGCCCTTTCGAAACAATTACTTTTATATGAATATTGGATATGCTTTCACAACCGGAGACTTGATAAAACATAATAAAATCTGGCCGTGCTTGGTCCATTCGACCACAACCTACTAACCCGGATTTTGTTCTTTTACTTTGTATGTAACTCCAATTCTCTCGGGGTTGTTGGTCCTTCGAAGTTTTTTTTCTCTCACTGGTAGTGCCTTTTCTTTCTTCGATTACTTTCTGCCCCAGTTTCCATATTTCATTTTTGCCTTTGGACAATGACACTTGTAGTTTGAAGACTCTAAATTGATGGGCTCGTTAACAAGTTCAAAACAGAAAATATAGCGCTAAATATAGGATAGAGAAAATAACTTTTGTATAATTTCTACTAAGATTTTTATTTCTTACGACCGAGTTTGGAGGTTAATCTTTGGTTCCTTAAGATTTTTAACGGAAGTGTGACTTTTGCAAGACGAGGTCAACCTCTTATTGATGATTCCAATATGTTTACGGCATCTATATAAATAAATATATTGAAATTGTGTTCAAAAAGTTGGTGATTTCTGTTAACCTATCTCTTCCTATAAACGACACCCTCAATCGTCGAAAGGTAGAAATTAACGAGGTCTTACCGTTTAACATGCATCAACTAGCACGGATTGGACGATATGCTGTGAATATTTATCGTCCAACTGTTGAGATGGAACCAACGTCTACATGGCGGTTGGTTGAATGAGTAGAACGCCAAATGAAACTTCGGTGTTCATTATTTTCAATCCCAATATGGTTTTAATATTATATGCGAAATTTATTCAATCTTCTGATCATATTCTCAATCATCAAAATTCTCTGTGTGATTTTCTCAAGAAATAAAACATTTTAAATATTAGCTAGGTGATAACCACTGAACTGTATATATAAAAGTTCAGTGGTGATAACTAAAAAGCTGATGACTTTGACATATGATAGATACACAGAATTCAAAAGTTTATCTCAGGACAGATATAATTATGATTTCTGTGAATGTGCTACTTTTCTCTCTGACGCGTTGGCAACTGTGTCCAGTGCCTTTACCCCTCTTACCTCTAACCAATTACACGTTGACATTTCGAATATAAATATAAACAAATGTTAAAGGAGAAATTTCAAAACATGAAAAAGTAGATTTGAGAATTAATTTTATCATGTTTGGTAAGTTTATATTATGAAAACAAATAGTGGTAAATTTTTATCATTTTTCAGCTGGGATGAAACTCATTTTGGAAAAATGGGGAGCTGGTATATCAATAGAACATTCTTTTTTGACGTACATCCACCTCTTGGAAAGGTATGTATATTCATTTCCAATTCAAGGGTATTTCTATAGTTCCAATAAACTTTCAAAAAAGATAATGCACAGAGTACTTGCACACAGCATTAACATTCCTATTGGGTTGAATACATTGAACTGTGAAGCGGACAATCAGATATCAGTGTTTTATATGAAATATACCAGCTTTAAATATATATGTTATGTATCATATGTAAATATATAATAAGCAGTGTAAGGTATGTATTGCAGTCGGGGTTGAAGAAGTACCTTTTCAATATTTTAAATTCGAAAAAAAAAAATTAAAGAAAAATACAACCCCGTGTACATACGGAATTATTTTCAAATAGTGGCTTTGTCCCAAAAAAAACTTGAAGTTTAACCTATTTCAATAAAAAATACACCTATAAACCGGTAGTAGCGTGGTAACTTTATTGAATATGGTTTTAACAAATCTAAAGAAATGAACTTTAAACGTTCAAGCCAGTCTTGAATGGACTGACGCCTATCAGAAAACAACTACTCCCCTGGCTGATACCACGAAGGGCGTTGGATTATATCCGACAGGCGTTTAGTGCAGGAATCTTCACAGAAAATTTCCTGCATATGCAATTGGCAATACAACTGAAAGAGTCTACCTTCAATTTTGGAACGGGCACACTTGCAGACCGGTTTCGGGCTCATTAGCCACTCATCAGTGCAAGATAGTGGCCATCATCGACCTAAAGTCAATGATATTCCATAACTGAGAATTCTTTCAAGGATTTCATTGCTCTTCTTAAGTTGGAGCGAACAACAAAATGTCACTCCATCTAGTGGACGAGGTACTAACCAACTGCATATCCGTAATTTGCCCGATTCCTCTGAATAAGGAAGAAAAACTTTCTTATTAGTCAGTGGGCTATGCTTGAAGACTAACAGTGAACATATCTAAAGAAATGAACTTAAAACATTAGCCCGTCTCGAACATATCTACACAGTAGGTTGAATGGACTGAAGCCTCTCAGAAAACAACTACTCCCCTGGCTAATACCACGAAGGGCGTTGGATTATATCTGACAGGCGTCAGTGCAGGAATCTTCACAAAATTTCCTGTATATGCAATTGGCAATACAACTGAAAGAGTCAACCTTCAATTTTGGACTGACCCCTTTCGGATATGATTCAACGTCCTTCGTGGTATTAGCCAGGGGAGTAGTTTTTTCTGATAGGCGTCGATCCATTCAACCTACTGTGTAGGTATATTCGAGACTGGCTTGAACGTTTAAAGTTCATTTCTTTAGATTTGTTCACTGCCAGTCTTAAAGCATAGCCCACTGACTGATAAGAAAATGGTTTCAACATATGATTCCCTCAGCACTGCCCAGAATATATTACTGAAAGTCCCTAATCTTCCAATCAAATGATAGATCTGACCAACATTGCTCCACTCAGATATTGCCTAAGACCTCACAGAGACTCAATGATGTATTCCATGTGGTGATACGGTTAAAGATATCTTGAATTTATGATATTCATTATTCGATTACTTTAAAAAAAATATTCAAGTCACCCAGTATACACCTTGAAGTATCAGGAGTTTCATTGGAATTAGTAAGTGTATCTTGGTGTTAATATTTTAGATGTTAATTGGAGTTTCTGGATATTTGAGTGGTTATGACGGCAAATTTCCATTTGATAAACCTGGAGATAAATACGGAAATACATCCTATGTTGGAATGAGATTGGTAAGAACAAACTCATAATAATAAAATACGATATTGTAGAAAAGCAGTCATGTTCAATATTGAAAAGATGAAATTTCAATGCCTAGAAGGTGTGATAAAAATTGTTTTCAGTTCTGCACTACTCTTGGAGCCACCATCATACCAATGGCTTTCATTACAGTTGACGAACTCACAGAAAGTGTATCAGCAGCTTTTTTTTCATCATTACTTATACTTTTTGGTAAGTTTAACTTTTTTTCTCATTCATACCTTTATATTTATGTTGCATTTACTAGGAAAAAACGCCCAATAACCCTATACTTTGACCTTGAAACAATTGATCATATACTCTCACTTGATGAATGTAAGTAAGCACTCCCCCTCGTAAGATCATCAAGGGAAAATTTGAAAACAGTTATAATTATTTGTAATAAAGTTCAAAAATATTATTTAGGTATATAATTTTTGGTGGCAATTTTTGCCCTCATTACATTCAACCAGAGACAGAACATGACAAATTTTTCTTTGTGACCTTGTTTCCTTTCAATTTGTGAAGCTTCGTTTTCTGTAAAAGATTCCACACCTCATCAAAGTTCATATTATAGGCAGTTTAAAGGCAGGTAGGTTTCACTCATTTTCATTTTGCTGAATTTGGAATGTCAACTTTTATGAAATAAATAAAATGGTCTTTCAATTCACATTCACTTTGTTATTGTCATAACTAATTACTTTTCGCTCTATTGTTCTGTGTGAGGTACATCTAGTGTGCAGAAGAACATGATGAAATAGTTGATATACTTGATAGATAGATACATAGATAGATAGATTGATAGATTGATAGATAGACAGACAGAATTTATTTAATCATGTTAAACATTCAATACATTTATGACAGGTCAAAAAGAGTGCAAATGCACAGTGTACTGAGTACAAAATTGAAAGATAATATATAACTATTAATGATCATTTGAAATAAAACTTAACTGCTTGGTAGAATAAAATGGGTAGAATAAAATATTAGTGATACAGATAGATAGATAGATGTTTAGTGACTATGTTATATAAATAATTACATTTCTAGCAGGTCATGAGGTGTGGACAATTTGTATGTATAAAATAGAACACAGTATGCACTTAAAGACAAAAAATCACATAGGCATAAAATATTATAAGTATAGATAAAAGTTAGCGGAATTTATTAGCGAAATATGTTGGGAGGCAGATCTGTGAATAAGTATCATAAGAGTGTGACAGAAAATAGGACAAAACTTTATATATTACCAGCTATAAATTCGTCAACTGTGTAGAAACAGTGGCGGGAGCATATTTTCTTGACTTCTGCTTTGTATTGATTATAATTTAGGTTTAAATTTCGGCAGGTAATTTGTTATATATCCTAAAATCAACAGAGTTACTGGCTGACTTGCTTAGACGATGTCTTGGTTCTCTTAGCAGATTTATATTTCTTGTATTGTAATTATGGAACTCCGCATTAGTTGAGCAGGCATTTTTGTTTTTATGTATATGTAGTAGTGAGTAGTAAATGTATAGAGAAGGTACAGATGTTATTCCATACTTGACAAACAGCGGCAGGCAGTGATCCCTATGTCCTGCATTAGTTATGACTCTTATAACTCACTTTTGAATAATGAAGACTTTTTTTGAGTTTGGAGTATTACCCCATAAAATGATACCGTGATTGTATAAGACCAGTTGAGATTATCGTCCAAGGTTATTCCAAGGAGTTTAACAGTGTCAGTGATGACATTTTGAACGTGTTTTGCTGATGTGTCACTAATTTAATTTTGTTTTATCTTTAAAATAGCATGCATATTCTTTTTAGGTGGTCTAACTGGTATCTGAGAGATCACAAGATTTTTCACAATGTGTTGCCAACATTCTTTACTCCTAGCAAAAATGTATTTTGAATTTCAGATGTGGGACTCATTACTATTTCACAGTATATTCTTTTGGATCCTCTGTTACTGTGTTTTATGATGGCATCTTTTATGGGTTCAGTCAAAGTGTCCTCCAAAAGGACTGAAGAATTTTCAGTTAAGTGGTGGTTTTGGTTGACATTTACTGGAACAATGTTGGCATGCTGTATTTCAGTCAAATTCGTAGGTTTGTTTGTAGTTTTATTGGTTGGAATGATGACTGTGTCAGATTTATGGAATATTTTAGGAGACTTGAGAAAACCAGTGGTAAGTACAGTTACAATATTGGTATTGGTGCATGTTTATTACAAAAACATGATATGAAGGAAATAATAAAATAAAATTTCACTTTTAATGGAAAAAGTAATAACTTAATTCATTACGAGTCCCTTCTCTAGAAAGGATTTGGTGTCAATGAATGAAAGCCTAATATAAATGGCACCTTTTTTTTATTAATTGTTTTGCTTAGTTGAGGGTTGAAATGGACGATTAATTAATTCATCTTTATCGAGCTTTTGCATTATTATACTTGAGCTTTTTTCTATAGCTTTGATACTTATGCTCCCTTCACCATTCTGTCTTCACATGCCTTGATATATCGTCGCCATCTTAGTGTCATCATCTTTTGTATTGTGAGTTTGGTGTCTTCAATGAATATTTGTCTCTGTATTGAAAACACTTTTGATAATAATAATAATTGTAATGGTCTTTATTTGGTGAAATGGAATATAACAACCAAAAGGTGAAATTCAAAACTGCATTGTAGAATACTACAGGTTTGTTCTATCACTTAACCTGACGTTTTCAAATAAACTAAATTGCAACCATGTTTCAGTAGTCAGTATTTTTTCCAAAATAACACCTTTTTTATAAAAGTATTTCTCAATAATATTTCCTCCAATATTTGTATTTGCAAGATCAGTTTTGTCATATTCCAGATTTATCTTGAGTATGTTAGTGTTTATATCTTAGTAAGGTATTATACCTTCATAGTTTTACTCAATATCAACTTCTTTCTTTCATTTTGATTGATAACAGTTCTTGTAATGCATCGGTGAACTTTCACCTGTTTTCTTGGCTGTCTGATTAAATGAGTCTTTTTTTTATAAAATTCAGTAAAAGCTACTGGTTTCCAAAAAACTCAATTGTCATCTGCTATTTAATATTCAGTTCAATGCATTTTTAGAGAATCAAGAGCTCTTACTAAGTTATAAAACTTGATTTATAAGTGATGAATCCACAACCACTGCAAATGCAGACTCCTGTACAACTATTTATGTTGCATTTACTAGGAAAAAACGCCCAATAACCCTATACTTTGACCTTGAAACAATTGATCATATACTCTCACTTGATGAATGTAAGTCAGAGGTGCTGCAAATAATTGGATTGCTTCATGCTTGAAAGACAGGAAACAAGCATGAATCAAAGTAAGTCACAACCGAGGACAATCAATATTGGTGTACCACAAGGATCTATCTTAGGTCCAGTTTTATTTAACATTCTCATGACTGACATTGCAAATTCCTCTCCTAACGCAAAAGAAACATTTATGAAGGCTGATGATCCAATATACTGGTCTCAGAAACTAACACACGGAATGTAATAGCAAGGGTGAATGGCATCACAAGTGAATTTTATAAATGGTGTCTTCATAATGGACCATTACTAAATTCATCTGGAACGTTTTTTATGACATTGTTATGGTGTTAGCTTTTTAATAAAAATCAATTAAAAAACAGTTGAACAATTGACTTCTGTTAAATTTCTTGAACCATAAGATGACATAGGAGAAACACATCAATGATCTTGTGAAAAAATTTAGCACCGTTTGCTTTCTAATTATGCAGCTACAAAGAACAGTATCTTTGGAAGTATTGAAACTGACCTATTATGGACTTGTCCAGTCCCTATTAACATATGGTCTACTGTTTTGGAGCAATTCAGCACATATCAATATTTCTTATGCAGAAGAAAATTATTAGGACCATGGTGGGAGCTTATCCGAGCACTTCATGCAAACAATTATTTTCACAGCTACAAATTCTTACACTGCCTTCACTTTATATAATGCAAATTACTATAAATATAAAGAAACAAGAGGCTTCAATGTTATCAAATAGCTCAATTCAGAAGTATTCAACAAGAAACTGTGAAAATTTACAACAACCCTTCTTCAGGATTGGGCAAAACTATCATATTTATTGTGGTATAAGGTGTTATATAATTGTTTTAAGGAATTGTTTGGTGCAACTCCCAAATTGTCACATTGGTGATGAATAAATTTGACCATTTCAACATAATGAATTCACTGAAATGTAGAATTTCCCCATCAGGAGATGATCTATTCTAATGATCATCTAATGATGTTAACTTATTTGGTAAAACTCACATCAAAAAGTTCGAAGTATGCTGAATGATTAGAATTGTTCATCGACAAGAATTGAACAAAAGTCAGTTTTTGAGGATGAAATCAGGGTTTTACAAAAAAAAAACAATAAAATGCTCTCAAGTTTATTTACCTGTAAGTTATTTGGCATAACAAAGTGAATAGCATAAAAAAATATTCAGAAAGTTTGAATATTTGCTCATGCAAACAACTTATGAATAACTTATCACAGCAGTTTGAGAAATTTAGTGCTCTACAACTGATGAAGGGATTCGTGAAATATACAAGCTGTCGTCACTAAATAAGTGTAAAACATTTAAGGAGATGATTCCTCATCGAAAAAAAGATAGGATCTTTCATATACAGAAATTTCATTGGAGCATCCCTTGTTAAGATACAGCCCCTTAAAGGGGGTACATAAAATTTGTATAACCATTTTTTTCACAAGCACTGAAAAAGTTACAATATTGAAATTAACCTGACGTTTTGTACTACCAAAAATACACTTAGCCAGTAATTTATTTGGTTTACCCCATGGTTGTAAGGGGTGGAAAACGTAACCCCTAAAATTTATTTCCAATGTAACTTTTTGTCTTATTATTTGTTTACCATTCAAACATTTATTTCCGATAGCCTGTTTCGTTCTAAACAAAAAATGTCTCTTGGGTTTTTTTGCCCAAAATAAACCAGTTCGCAGCAAAATTGCATGATAATTGCATGATAATGCATGATATGCATTACGTTTACGGTCTGTCGCAGAGGAATGGGTTAGAAGCTTCTTGAAGATATGCTGAAATGTATCCTTAACGGCAGCATCCTTCACATAGAATATTTGCTCGACTTCATCAACGATTACGAGAATATGGTTCATTTGACAAAATAATAGTTTATTAACCATTTTTTGGTACGCTAGGTACATATGGTAGGTCCTTATAGTATAATATTACAATTTGTTGCACTGAAAATATACGGACATATGTATAAATAAATAAGTAAATAAATAAAATCTGTCAATTTGTACATATGAATTTGAGTGTCTGTATATAAAAATAAACAATCAATATTGTTAACCATTAAAAAGGTAAAAGTCATGTAAGATCTGTGTCTATCGAATTATCGTTCATAATAATAATAATATTTATTCATCCTTAAAGACGTTGACAAACGTATAGATAGGTCAGTATTATGCACATAAAAATCACATCAAACGATAAAATTGTAGATCAGTAGATAAAAATAATACAATAAAAATTTATACAATAAAAGTCAGAATAAACCAAATAAATTACTGGCTAAGTGTCTTTTTGGTAGTACAAAACGTCAGGTTAATTTCAATATTGTAACTTTTTCAGTGCTTGTGAAAAAAATTGTTATACAAATTTCATGTAACCCCTTTAAGGGGCTGTATCTTAACAAGGGATGCTCCAATGAAGTTTCTTTATATGAAAGATCCTATCTTTTTTTTGAATGAGGAATCGCCTCCTTAAATGTTTTACACTTATTCAGTTACACCCTGTATATCAAGTTGCCCAACTTTGAAATTCACAACTTTATACTTTTGTTTATAACTCTTAGGCAATTTTGGACTGCGCATATCATTTATAATCAGATGTCAAGTTTTGAATAAAGGAAGAAAAATAAAGGAAACAACGGAAAATAAAGTAAATCTTGTTCTACTTGTTTTCCTTGCAAAAAATATTTTTAAAAACTGAATGAAGGAACCCCAATTGCTTTTGAAATTAATTTGAAAGACTACACATGAATTTCATTCCTAAATCTGGGTTGAATAAGTTAAATTGGCTTGCGTGAATCCACTTTTATAAAATTGTAGTTAATCACATTCTTCGTTTCCACAATTTCAATGTACAATACATGCACTGACCAAAATAAAGAGGCTAACATGTCATGAATTTAAAATTATAACTCCATCTTTTTTTGTTAGAATTTTAATGAGGTTCACAAGTGAAGAAACCGTTTTCTTACTTTTTTTTTAATAACATCATTTTCAAAGTTTTTTCTTAGTAGTACCACAGAAAGTGTTAACTTTTTTTTAATTATCCTTGACAAACTCACTTCAATTCCTAATTTTCAAAAGCATTACTCTAATTACAAAACATGCATTTTCAAAGAAACATTGAAATATGTAAGTATGTTTCACAATGGTCATAACTATTTGCTCTCAGTTCTTTAAAACAAATATTTGTAGGGGAATCGCAGGGTATTGGACAATAAAACACAAAATCAACGTCTTTGCTATTGTTTTGCGATTATATTCATCGCTTTTTCAGAGCTCATAGTACCAAGTCTGACGAATATTGTGCATTGTGACAATGCATCGTTCGTAAACCTATTGAAAATTGGAATGGCAATTGAATAAATAAATCATAATAAATAAAATGTTGTTGCTCCAACTGTTTGTTTCTTGGTTTCCTTTTATTCGTTATAATTTATTCAATTGCCCTTTTTAATAGGTATATGACCGATGTATTGTCACAATGCACAATATTCCTCAGACTTGGTACCACATACTATGATTTACTCCTGAGCTCTGAAGAAGCAATAAATATAATAGCGAAACATCACCAATGATATAGATTTTTTTTTATTGTCTAATGCCCTGAGATTTCTCTGAAAGTTCAACTACTGGTCGCAATTTCAATAAATAATCTTTTGAAGGAGAGAGTTGAATGTATAAATAGTAATGTTCATGAACACAAAGAATAAAATTACTCTAGTTGGTTCCTCATAAATATGCTATGGATTGTGACAAACACACAAAACACACCCAAATAGTTGTTTATCAAACAACCAATTACAATCAGTATCTACTAGTATCACATTCAGTATCTAAATATGTTCTTCCTACTGCTTATATTTTACATGACTAGCATGAAGCACTGGCAACATCATTTTCTCCTCTATTTTTGCTACATTTTGTCTTGAGTAGGGAACCTAATAAAATTCCCCCAAACAAAATCAGACCCACCTTGGAATTAGAAATAAATTTCTTACTGCAATCATTAGCATCATCAATTTTTAGAGTCAAGATTTGGTTACCAACATGTGTTGAAACTATGGCCACTGCCGCATAATATGGCCATGTTTGGGAGTTCATAATCCCTGAGAGTATCAAACTCCCCACCATTGTACCAGCAAAGCCACTCAACCATAGTTTGGTATTTTGGTCAAACTTGATAGCAGTTGATTTCAGTCCCAATATAATATCGTCTCTCTTGTCCTGATGGGCATAGATCGTATCGTAAATGATGGTCCAACAAACTCCAGCCAAATAAAGAGGTAAACAAGTTGCTATATCAACATAACCTTTCACAGCACTGTAACCCAGTAAAGCACCCCAGTTGAAGGTAAACCCTAACACTAGCTGGGGCCAATAGGTAAATCTCTTCATAAGAGGATATGACACAACCAAACCCAAGGAACTAGCACCTAAAAACACACTAGGCCAGTTCAACTGCAGCAATATGAATAAACCTACACTTAGTTGTCCACTCAGAAATGCCACAGCTTGTTTCATAGAGATGTCACCATTCACTAGGGGTCTGTTTTTAGTACGCTCAACTTTACCATCGATATCACGATCCCACATATCATTAATCGTGCATCCTGCTCCCCGCATAACTAGAGCACCTGTTGCAAATAAGGCGAGCATGTGAAGATCTGGTAAGCATCCAGGAGCCGCTGCCGAAGCTATGCTCCAACTACACGGCCAAAATAGAAGCCAAGTACCTATTGGTCTGTCCATCCTAACTAACCTCAAATATGGTCGAATTTCTTTTGGAGCTCTTTCCACAAGTCTGGCGGCCAGAGCTGGTTTCGATTCTTCATGAGTCACACTCGTGGCAGTAAACTTGCTTTTACAAAATATTCCGCCATATATTTTATTTCGATTCAATATTATAACCTCATTTTTTCTCGTGTAGAAGTTTATAATTTTCATATGTTTGGGAAAAAATCTCAACATTTTATCGAATGGCGCCCTTAAGTCGCGAAATACTTGTTTCATTTATTCAGTAATAACACATTCTGAAATATTACTTTAATGTTATCAACATTTCATGAAGATAAGTCATGTCTGATACTTGAACAAGGCAAACAACACTTTCCACCTTCATTATTATTCACTCCTGTTGATAACATTTTACATTCTCTAGGAAGCTTCAGTCGACTTTTGAGCTAAAAATAGAGATAATTTATATATGTTTTCCCACACCAAATTGTCAATTCAGTAATACACAAGGTCAATCTGTCAATGACAACTAAGGAAACATAAGTTTTTTTCTGTAAATAATCCTACAAAATTGTTCTTTTTTCAATTAAAACATAATATAATATCTGCTGGGCTGATACGACATAAGCACAGACATAAGCCAGATAAGGATAAAATATGGAAATGACAGACTTCACAATGACCTTGGAACAAAAAAGGAATGTTCGTAATGACACCGTATAGAAGTAAACACTTCTACTTCTATACGGTGGTAATGATTACATCCTTATTTTCAGAAGAAACAAAGGAAAACCTATTACTTTTTCTTCANATTCTATGTCAGAAACTTCTAGGAACTATTTAAACAGAATACATTTTCACCTGAAATGATTTATTTTATAAATATATACTATCCCTCCGATTATCAACTAAACCAACCGCCACTGTTTTATGGTCCAACTTACTTCCCGTAGACGAACAAAGTTATGCTGTCTTCAATGTAAGGATACAAAAGGCCTCTCTATTGTCTTTTGTTGCTCTGAGGTCCATGGTGATTTGACAAAACTGACTGAATAAATAACAACAACTCACTACAACTCACAACTACAACTCACAACAACTCACTAGCGCTGCTAGTGAGTGATTTTTCGTATTTCAGGAAAAAGGTTCATCGAAAAATGATAGTGCAGAAATGATTGAATGAATTTTTAGGGCATAGAAATATCGTTGTCATAGAAAAATAAACTATCACCGCCTAAGACGAATATTTTGTTTTCTAAAATTGTTAATAAATAAATGATGTAATGAACACTGAATTTTCAGTCCTCCAAAATAATGGCAGCATAGAAAAAACACCCCCTCCACATCAGATGATTTTTTTTCAGTAAACTGTCACTTGTCCCCGATTATGACCAGGTTGAAAATGTTGAAAGGAAAACGATGTGATTGATGAACCCTGAATATTCAGTCATTCTAAACATCATAAAAAAAAACGTCCCTTCACATCAGATGAATTTTTTTATTTTTTTTCGTAAAGTGTCACGTGTATCCGAACAAGTGGAAAATTTTCAAATTGAATTTTCAGTATTCCAAAATAATGGTGTTAGGTATTGAAAAAAATTCCCCTTCTACATCAGATGATTAATTGTATTCTTTGCAAACGAAAACGACCAAGTGGAAAATGTTGATAGAAAAATGATATAGGTATATACCTACTGACTGAACACTGCATTTCCGCTCCTCCAAAATATTGGCATTGCAGAAAAATTACCCCCTTTACCTCAAAATCACTTTTTTTTCTTTGTTAACTGTTACTGGTCGCCAATAAGGCCAAATGATTGAATGTTCATTCAGAAATGATGAACTGAAGACTGAATTTTCAGTCCCACAAATTGATGCCGTTGAAGAGATTTCATGAAATTATGTTCCAAATACGATTCTGATTTGTAGTTGTTAATGTAACTGATAAAGTCTTGAATAGTTGTAAATTTAAAAATAAATAATAACTATTAATCATACGAGGTGTATCTATTTTCTGTAAGACGTCATCATTTTGAAGAACTGAGAGCCCGTCTCTAATAATAATCACACTTGGTCATTATTCGGCATAATTCGCATTTTAGGAAGCAAAATATTTCTCTTAGGTGTTAGTAGTTTATTTTTCGATGCCACCGACACCTCAAGCAAGTATTTTTCGCTGTGAAGAACGTGTATCTTGTACTCCTACGATTATTTAATGATTCAATTTTTTAATTATTCATTTTCAGCTTTACACATTGAAGAATTTGTTAGCAAGGGCATTGTGTTTGATTGTCATACCGATTCTGCTGTACATCACATTTTTCTACATACACTTGACTGTTCTCAATAGAAGGTGAGATCACTATAACATTAAATAAGTGGACATGATTGTTTAATTTCACTTTTTAACAGTGGTAATGGAGATGGTTTCTACAGTTCTGCATTTCAATCACAACTCATTGGTAAGTAAAAATTAAAAAAAAAACACTTTAAGATTTACTTGGAAATAAGTTTGAAACTTATACTTATGAAACTATTTTTTTAAGTTATTGACGTATCAATAACGTTCAGTTTTTTTTTTAGCTACTGATGATAAAATTTTATTTTCTTACTGATTTCAGCTTCTTTTAAAATTTCAAGGTTGCATGTGATTGTAATGATAATAGGGTCAATTAATGTATGTATAGTGGCGGGTAATG